GTCCGCCCGTGTCCGCCAATCGCGGCTCCGCTACGGAGAGCGAGGCCAGCGTCGGGCACGTCGACGCCCAAATAAACTTTATTGTCAGCTGCCCTCTTGAACAAAAGGGAGCAAGCAACTGAGAAGCAAAGCGAGTTACCTCGTGTGTTCTTCGCCTTCTTGAAGTAGCATGCAGGAAATCGTGTTGTGTGCGGTCTTGCTATTGGCCCTACTCCTTTTTGTATCATAGAATTACTGATTAGCATTTTTTAATAGTGATTCATTCATTCATTGTGTGTCTTCTGCATAATAGATGCTATTCTGTTGTTAGATGTCCCCGGGGTCAGGCCAGACTCAGAGCGACTCAATGCACAACAGCCTAACCCTGCGCCATCCTGACAACCGTTGTCTTATGTGAACCCATTGTTGCTATCACTGAGTCTATCCTATTCGTGTCTTTGAAGTTTCCCTCCTTTATCGCTGCATTTCCATATCCATAAATACAATTGTAAAAAAAAAAATTGTATTGAAGCCCATTTTTGCAGCCACTGTGTCAATGCATCTCATCAAGGGTCTTCCTCTTTTTCATTACCCCTTCTGCTTTACCGAGCATGATGTCCCTTTCCAGGGACTGCTCTCTCCTGATAACATGTCCAAAGTTCCTGAGACAAAGTCTTGCCATCCTTGCTCTAAGAAGCGTTCTGGCTGTATGTCTTCCAAGACAGATTTTATTTGTTCTTTTGGCAGCCCATGGTGCTTTCTTTGCCAACACCAAAAATAATCAAATGCATCAATTCTTCTGTCTTCCTTATTCATGACCAAAGGCATTGCTACCATAAAGACTGAAGACCTAGTGTCCCGGTAGTGAGATGCACTTGGGAATAAGGGACTTGCAGGTAAACATACAACTATACTACGTGATGTCACCACCAGCTGTTGAAAGCACGGTGATTCTTGACTCCTGGGACTCACAGCCACAACATCCAATTTCCACCTTTCCATCTTGCACTCTCAAAGCCCCCACTTCCTTCCCGACCCCTTGATGCTACCTCAGATTGTTAGGGACCTTGAGCAATTACCCTTTTAATGGAAGGAGATCAAACCCAAGGCTGCAATAACAGAAGAGGTTTTATTATGCTAGCTTAAGCCAGGGCTCAAGTCCTCAGGTGATTATCTGCGTGCACCATCTTGGACAAGAGCCCCCACAAAAGAAATTCCAAAGTATTTATTTACAGGTATATGTGACGGGGCGTTCCCAGCCCCACCCCTCCCGTCACTCCACTGATTGGCTCATTTGAGGTAGGTTGGCAGTCTGGTCCTTTGTGTAGTTCCCGCGCTGGCCGGGTCGTCCTCCCCTTGGCGTTTGGGCTGGCTGTGCCGTTCCTGGGTTGGCTAGCCTCAGTCTCCGGGTAGGTCCTACTTTGCACTGCTAGGAAACACGAAACCACAGCCTGCCCTAGATCACGGAGCCAGTCATGGGGGCAATTTGGCTTTACAAAATTAGACCCTCGCCACTGTAGCTTATGTTTCTAGCTCCTCCAAACCATTCCCCAGAGCATCAGTGATTTTCTAAAATAAAAAATCTATCCATAACTTTTTTTCCCTGCCTAGCATCTTTTAGAGATTCTCTGTTGTCCTCTAGAAATAACCAAAACTTCTTAATTTAAGTCCCTCCCCAATCCTGTGCCTGCCTGCATCTCAGGACTCATCTCTTAGGGCTATACCCAGGGCCAACTGCTTGGAATTTCTCAAACTCATCACTCTTTATCTTAATTGTTTACTTTCGCTCATGCCATTCTCTCATCAGAGAAGATTTTTTTTTTTAATCATTTCATTGGGCCTCATACAACTCATCACAATCCATACATCCATCCACTGTTGCCAGGAGATGCCAGCCCCTAGCAAATCATTACAGGTCTGGTAGGCACAATTGTACAGCAATAATAAGTAAAGATTATAGTAAAGCTATAGAGAGCATGAGCAATAGAAGAGATATTACAATAATGCAGTCAGACACATTTTATGGTAGCATTGCTCACCTCAGCCCCACTTGGTGGTCCACATGGAGAGCGGGGGAAGGGAAGGAGGGCAAAGAGAACAGGGGAGTGAGGACAGGAGAGGAGAGGGGGAGCCCAGGGGGCAAGAGACCAACCAGAGCCGAGCTCTCTATTGCCAACCCAGGCCTTATATACCTTTTGGTTGCGTGCAAGCCCACTAATTACAGGTAAAGTCATACGTCACAGGAAGGGGTTGCACTATAGGTAATATAATAATGGGAGGGGGTGATCTAGGGACATACACGCAATAGGAAGAGGAGGGATTGGGGGTATACATGTGACAAGATGGGCGGATCCTAGATTTAGGATGGCAGCTTAACTTTGACCTGTTTTCTGGATCTCCATATGAACCATTATCAGTAGGGTGTGAACTCCGCCTACAGGAACCAAGCTAATGGTTGTAAGCTTTAGGAAGAAGTAATCCATTGTCTCCAGCAGCAGGGAGCAGGCCCACCCCTGTGGTGTGGGGAAACAGCCCCGTCTGCCTCCAGGGAGGATGTCTAAGCATCTGACCTCGCCCCACACACTGTGTCAAGCACATTTGTACATTTGTTGCAATCATCATTCTCAAAACATTTTGTCTACTTGAGCCCTTGGTGTCAGCTCCTCATTTTTCCTCTCCCTTCCCCACCCTCCCTCCCTCACAAACCCTTGATAATTTATAAATTATTTTGTCATGTCTTACACTCTCAGATGTCTCCCTTCACCCACTTGTCTGTTGTCCATCCCCAAAGGAGGGGGTGATATGTTGATCCTTGTGATAGGTTCCCCCTATTTCCCCCACCTTCCCCTTCACCTCCTGGTATTGCTACTCTCATTATTGGTCCTGAGGGGTTTATCTGTCCTGGATTCCCTGTGTTTACAGCTCTGATCTGTACCAGTGTACATCCTCTGGTCTAGCCGGATTTGTAAGGTAGAATTGGGATCATGATTAAGGTGACCAGACATCCCGCTTTTGGCGGGACAGTCCCAATTTTTAACAATTTTTCCCGCGACCCGCAGCATTTTAAAAAAGTCCTGCTTTTTTGAAAGAATGCACGACAAGCTAGGGTATATGGTTTTCGGCTGCCATGTGGCCATTTTGCCAGGATATGAGTGTTATCAATGGTGTCCTGCTTTTGTCCCGCTTTACCAGTGTTACAATCTGGTCACCTTAATCATGATAGTAGGGGGTTAGGAAACATTAAAGAACTAGAGGAAGGTTGTATGTTTCATTAGTGCTATACTGCACCCTGATTGGCTTGTCTCCTCCCTGTGACCCTTCTGTAAGGGGATGTCCAGTTGCCTGCAGATGGGCTTTGGGTTTCCACTCCTTACTCCCTCTCATTCACAATGTTATGATTTTGTGTTCTTTGATGCCTGATACCCAATCCTATGGACACCTGGTGATCACACAGGCTGGTGTGCTTCTTCCATGTGGGCTTTGTTGCTTCTCAGCTAGATGGCCACTTGTTTATCTCGAAGAAGATCTTTATACATCATATTCATCTTTTTTTTCCTTTTTTTTTTTAATATTCATCTTATCAACTCTTTGTCATCCTTTAAGATTGAGTAAGTTTAATCATTACCTCCTCTAGCAAGCCGGCAATTTGCAGTTCAGTCCCGGTGCCTTGCCTTAGCAGCCTGTGCTGACTTCTATTGCAGCCCACATCACTCTGAAGAGTAAGTTCTCTATGAACTTGAAAAAGAAGGAACTAACTTTTACTACCAAGTGGCCAGGTAATAGGATCCCTCAGAGGTCTTTTTGTTGTTGTCATTGTTGTTTTTGGGGGCCCTCAAGTGGGTTACGACTCATAGTGAGACTTATATAACACTGCCCGGTCCTGTACCATCCTACAATTGTTGTTACGTTTGAGCTCATTGTTGCAGCCACTGTGTCAATCCATCTTGTTGAAGGCCTTCCTCTTTTTCCAGGTACTAACGTATCCACTTGATTATTCAACAAAGCTATTAAGTGTCAGCTGTGTGCCAGACAGTCTCCTAGAAACATCAGATGCAGCCGAGAGCTCATACAGGAGCATTTCCACCACCAGGGAACTTACTGTCAGGCAGGAGAGGACAACCCAATCATAAAAACATATTTACTCTTTTAAGTGCCATGAGAAAAAAACCCCAACATGCTAAGAGGAGTAAAGAGTGGAGGTATAGGTGGTGAGGGCAGTGGGATATGGCGAAATGTTGGAAGATAAAATATAATGTAACATAAGAAGAAGGTGAGGGATTTGACCACATGGATTGGGGGAAAGAGTTCTAAATAGAAACCTCAGTGAAAACAAGAGCTAACGACTATCAAAAGATATACCATCTGGGCTCTTAAAGGTTTGAAGATAAACAAGCAGTCATCTAGCTGAGAAGCAACAAAGCCCACATGGAAGGAGCACACCAGCCTGTGTGATCACAAGGTGTTGAAGGGATCAGGTATCAGGCATCAAAGAACAAAAAAAATCATATTGTGAATGAGGGGAAGTACAGAATGGAGTCCCAAAGTCCATCTGTAGGCAACTGGACTTCCATTTACAGAGGGTCGGGCTGGGGTGGGGGTGGGGGGGTTGGCACGGAGATGAGCCAGTCAGGGTGCCGTATAGCACCCATGAAACATACAACTTTCCTCTAATTCTTTAATGCTCCCCCATCCCCTCCACTATCATGATCCCAATTCTACCTTACAAATCCAGCTAAACCAGAGAATGTGCACTGGTACAGATCAGAGCTGAAAACACAGGAAATCCAGGACAGATAAACCCCTCAGGACCAATCATGAGACTAGTGATACCAAGAGGGGATGAGGAAGGTGGGGGAGAAAGAGGGAACCAATCACAATGATCTATCTATAACCTCCTCCTTTGGGGATGGACAACAGAAAAGTGGGTGAAGGAAGACATCAAACAGTGTAAGACATGAAAAAATGAGGAGCTGATATCAAGGGCTCAAGTAGAAAGCAAATGTTTTGAGAATGATGATGGCAACAAATGTACAAGTGTGCTTGACACAATGGACGTATGTATGGATTGTGACAAGAGTTGTACGAGCCTCCAATAAAATGATTTAAAAAAGAAAACGAGCTAAAAATGGTCTTCATGTTTTAGATGGTTGAAAAAAAATACAGTTCTTGATATGTGAAATTTGCACTTGGGCATCCATAAATACGCTTATCTGCTTAACGTCCTACTTTGATGCTATAAAGGCAGAGTTGAGAAGTTGCAACAGAGTATAAGGCCCACAAAGTCTAAAAAGAGTTTATATGCTTTCAGGAAAGCAGAGGACCAATGCCAACAGCACCATCAGGATGACACCTTATCCAGTCAGAAGGGAAGTTGCTCTTGGAGGCCATTTTTAC